AATAAGAATGATCTTGTAAAATATGAATATATTTTATTAAATTTGTTAACAGCCACAAATTGTCAAGATTACTTTCTCACCTTCTTGCCGCAGCTGGCAATATGTTTGGTATTCCAAATTGCGGTCTATTGAAATTGAGACCAAAACCAATTTTCTGTCTTGGACCGACATAAATATAGTAAATGGTGCCCAACATTGCACAAACAGCTACCAATGTAGATAAGACGATCCATACACCGATACTATGTCCCTTGGCATTATAGTAGTAGCCGCTGGTGAAGGTACTTTTTGAACGCAAGCCGAAGTTTCCTGTAAGTGAGTTTTGATTAGGAATTCCCAACAATAATATGTTGTGCCAAATTACGTCAGATTTGAAGCTATTTGTTGCTCTAGTATCATTGCTGATAAGAGACATCAAAACCGTTGACTCTACAGTGATTATGATTTATCTGATATAAAGCCCAGTATAGGAATATGCTATTAGTCATACTTTTACTGATACATTCAGTAACTGTTTTTAAACTCTATGAATATTTGATGCAAATTGCAAAAAATACCATCAACTAATATAGTATTTTTTTAGTTTTTCTACGGATATTTATGTATATAATCAATTTACTAATTTTCTATTTGCAAAACTACTCAACATTTTTACCGATGACGACAACGAGGGGAATTTTTTACTTTCCGTTGGGTAGTTATACTAATGGGCCGAATATCGAAAATGAAAATTTTTGCATTTCTCCACGTCTTGAAGGTTTCTGAACATTTTGGCATACCTCAAAAAAATTGAATATGTGTGTGTGTTTTGTATGTCCGCATTTTTTCGTTCACGTTTTCGGGCGCACGGATTAACCGAGTTAAATGGTTCAAAAAACATTTGATTCCTATTAATAGGGAGATGTGCTGATTAGTTTTTGGCAAAGGCAGGTCCAGCCGTAACGGAGATAAAGAGCAAAGAGTGCAGAAAATAGAAATCCAGTTTTTGAGAGAACAGAGCATCCGATTTGAATTATCTCAAAAACAAGCAATTTGTAATAATTGGGAAAAGTGGTGATTATTTTATGGCAAAAGCAGGTCCAGCCATTTAGAAGATACAGAGTTAAATATACAAAAATGGCAGTTTTTGAGAGTAATAAGCATTCGATTTGGATGATTCAAAAAACTTTCTGCTTGTGTCGACGAAATAATTGCTTTTGGGAAAAAAAAATTATTATTTTTTTTTAATATCGAAAATAATTGAGATTTCAATTTTAATTTTGGTTGAAGTTCAAAAGCTCATTCCTATACTTTAAGTGAATAATTTTAACTTTGTAATTTAGTTTATATAATTCTTATAAATATTAGACAACGTTAAGCCGGCAACAGACGTAACTGTATGCATGTGCAACTGAATGAATGCGCAACCAGGCGTATTTTCACAGTGCCCACAGACGGCTCAAGTTTATGTTCAAGTATTTGCGCAAGCATATCACAAATGTCAACTGAGAAACGTCAAGACATAACCTAAAAATATATCTTTTTTATCTTCTTATATATAAAAATGGAGCTGTCTTTCAAATGTCCGAATAAAACTCGAAAACGGCTGAATGGATTTGGCCAGTCTTAGTCTTGAAAAATTCGTGCCAATCCAGAGATTGTCCAAAAGGTGAGATAATATTTCAAATCCGCGTAGAAACTTTTTATTTTTAATTTGAAAATTTTTGTAGAAGCGTAATCTAAATAAAACAATGGAAGGTTGCTAATCCGTGAAATGTCAAACGTTTTTGACAGATGATGTTTAATTACGTTCAATAGGATATTTTACGTGAATATTATTTAATTATAATTAAATTGTAGTAAGTAGCTTTGTTTGTAGTTTTATTTATATATAAAAACGTTAGTAAACGGGCCGCAAGTGTTACTAGAAACTCAAAATATCAACTCTTTTGAAATGTTAATATAAAAATGCACTTTTTGGCATTGTATCACTCTTTTTTTGCAAATCATATTTTTCTCAAACACGGTGCTCTGAAAGATCTATAATTATATATATATGAGTATAATTATATGCTCATTGGTATTTATAAAACATTTTCTAGGTTATATTATTTTTTATTTATGTTATTTAAATTCAAAACCTAAATTTGTTATCGATCAAAGGGACATTTTGCCGAATAACATTTTCCCAGTTATAATTTCTCAGAATTTATCGAAGAATAGAAGGTCCGGGGTTAAAAAGGTCCACCAGCTATGTGTCAAAAACAAAAAAAGTAAAGTTAAGCTTTGTTTAACAAGGAATTGAAAAACAGAGGGAAAAAGATGTATAACCAGATATAACCTTGATTCTTATGACTTTGCTATCTGGAGATAAACTGTAATCTTTGAAAATCCATAATAAAGGTATTTTCTTCCGTTGGTAGTTTTTTAGCATTAGTTAAAAGTGTAATTACTTTGTAAAATACATTTAAAATTAAAATAAGACATTAAACCTGTTTGCCAACTGGCCGTTCCAAGTTACCGGGTCTATGGGGTAAAAAGGTCTAGATAACAATTTTTTGAAAGACAGCAAAAAAGCAAATTTCTACAATGATGAAGTAGCTGGCAGTTTTACTGAACGTAGTCAGATAATTGTTCGTTTGGAATGTGTTTATTGTTGTGATATAATTGGTTTGCTTTTCATAATATAGTTTATATTTGCTGAACGCCAAATTGGAACTTTTGTGCCTTGCCCTGCTCTACATATATATTTTTTATTTATATATACTTCAAATCATCGAATGTTACTTGAAACTGTTCAAAAAGCAGGTCAAAAAAGAAATACTTAATTCATTTCCTATCTCTCTTCGCAGAAATTTGAAAATGTTTTATAAGCTCATTAGTATTATTTACAATTATACACAAAATCCTGAATCAAAAAAGAATCGGAAAAACTTGAAACGTAATAATAACGTAATAAGTTGAAAGACCAAAAAGCCTCGGATTGGATTTTACCATGTGTTTTATAGAAAGTGTATAAAACTTCCAGTTTGATTGTTTTGATAAAATATAGACAAACTAAGGGGGTTTATAGCATTCAAACAACATATCCTTATACACTTAAAGAATTAATATTTTTGATTCTCTAGAAATTGTTTAGAATATACCCTACTTAGCAAAACAACGTTTGCCGGGTCAGCTAGTTAATTTATATATTCGCAGCATTAGAAGTGAATTCAAAGTATTCAGAGGGCTAATTTAATAACTTTTAATTGTCGATAACTTCATAAACTTGTATTATGAATTCGCTACAAAGTAAAATAAAAACGGGACATGTGCTGCCACACGCGGCCAACAAATGAACTTGCCGACTTGAATGATTGCGCAATTAAAATAATCTAAAAGTGCTCATGTCTACTCGCTTGCACCAGTCTGACGATTTGCGCAAAAAAACACCCTACAGACGCTACAGAATGCATGTGCAAGTTACAGGTTGCGCAGTTATACAGTTACGTCTGTGGCCGGCTTTACAGTATTTATAATAATACTAGCAAACCCGACGAACTCCGTTTCGCCACCAGATGGTTTCGTGAGAAAGATGAAGAAATTTTTTGTTTGTTTTATATTTGAAAAGAAAAAATTTGATCAGGAAGGAAAACCCGACTTATTTTTATATATATATATATATATATATATATATATATATATATATATATAGAAGGTAATCTATTTGCAATTATTTGAAACAATTATTGATTATTTTGATTACTCGAATTTTTAATCACGGTGCGTGAAGTTTCAGGAATTTGCAGTAGGGCACGATGCCCTGCACCACTAATTTTCTTAGCAATAAACCTTGCGGAGCCCGAGACCTTTCCAACGAATGCAAAATTGTCGAAATCGGTTCGTGCGGTCTGGAGTTATTTCGTCAGGAAGGAAAATCCGATTTATTTTTATATAAATAGAAGATAATCTATTTGCAATTATTTAAAACAATTATTGATTATTTTTATTACTCGAATTTTTAATCACGGTGCGTGAAGTTCCAGGAATTTGCATTAGGGCACGATGCCATACACCACTAATTTAATATATAGAAGATATTTGAAAACAATTAATATTCCTCGAACATTTCGTTACGGTACGGGAAGTTCCAGCAATATGCCTTAAATCACGATGCCTTACACCAATAGTTTTTTTTTATTTTTCAAAGAAAAGAAGTTTTTTCTAAGTGAAGGTACGATAGATCTTCGCCTTTTAAACGAACTAACTAATCATCTTTTAAAATTGGAAACCGTAGAATTAATCATGACATTTAATGCAGATTAATTTTTCTACGCCTGAAATAATGCTCGATGTTTATGAGTTCATGTTTCGTAAAGCCAAACAAGCGTTAATACTCGCAAAATGAACGATACTACACTTTGAGTATAAACTTTTCTTGGTTTAAAAAAGTACATAATTTGTTCAGTTGGAATTTTACACTTATCACATACAAGACATTTTAACCTGTTGAAATTTCAAATATTGTACATATCAAGAAAGTAACTCTTAAATACAAAAAAATCATGCTTAAATTTAGAATTCTTTCATCTATCCGGAGAAAACAGTTAAAAATTCTGAGGTGTATTGCAAATGCACCTTGGTATATTAGTAACCAAATGATATACAATAATCTAAGAATTGACACTCTCCAGGAAGTAGTGAAAAACAGAAGCGAAATCCATCACGATAAGACAGTAACCATGCATTAATTCCCATATTAAGATCATCAGCTATTGGAATAATGAAAAAGAAGCACCTCTTCGATCTAATACATTCAAACGGAGTAGCCCTCTTGGGTGACCTCCCACACGTCATGTATGGAGAACTCCAGTACTATTACTGGAATTCTGATAATCAGCACAATATACACACATATATCAGCACAATACCTTATAGATTTTTTTTAAATTTTTTGGTTGAAAAATTTTAAATGCTTGATATAAGTTCAAAAAATTTATATGAACTTAAATGAGGACAATTTTAAAATTTCAATTTATTCAATTACCACCAATAATTCTTCTTTGAACTTCCGCAGCGCTATAGATGCTTCTTTCATTATATTCAGGTCCATCAGTTAACACCACTTGTATGAACTGTCTTTCTGCCTCAACAGTCGGATCTTCATTGTCCGTCACCTTGCTGGCATATGCAATTAATTCACCATTGCGTGATATTTCTTTTACAATCGAAGTTAGCGATTTACGAAAATCGTTTAATTTAAATGTTCTTACATCAATGAAATCAAATTGCAGTACCGCTCCTGGAATGAAGGACAGTTTGAATAAATTGAACAAAATCTCGTAAAAAATAAATATGTTTCAGAGTCAAAGTTATAAAGAAAATCGTTTTTTATGCAAAAATGCGAATAGTGAGAAGATTCGGCAATTGACATTTTTGAGAATTTTAAAGAAGCAAAAATCGAAAATAAAGATTCTTGATGCTATTGCTCGTTCTATGGGACCCCACGACTGGCTCAAATTCACACCTTAATTTCATTGGGGTTTATTGGAAACAGATTTAGGAAGTTCCAAGTTTGGAAGTAGAACATTCTAATGGCCCATTCAAAGCTTGACTTATAAATGGAAGTTTGTTTTTATGAAAATTTCAATAATTTTCTATTCTCCTCTTTTGACAAGAAAATTAGAGAAATTATTTCTGTGTAATGTATGTGTGAATGTACGTATGTTTAAAAGTAAATATTTATCACCGATGCAAATATGAAATATAAACGTCTGCCACATATGTTAATTTATTTAACTCGATTACAAGATTACACGTACACATTTTCCAAGTAATGTTTAAGGCGAAAATGAGTTGTTACGGTTGATTATATATAAATAAATTCAATATTGACCGAGTTTTATCTCGAGTTGGTTCAGCGCATTTAAGATTAGTAAATATTATAAGGTTAAATGAAAAATTATCATTGTTTTTGCAATATTCTTAAGCCGATTGTGAAAATTGACTATTTAGCAATTTTATGCTCGCCATCACCACTTATGAAATGTGTTTATTATGATATTTTAATATATCTTAGAATTTTTAAACGCAAAAAGGCGTGCTTGTGAATATATAAAAAGAAGTTATAATTAGAAACCTAACGGGTTACTTAAATAAGCTTTTACCTTAAGATAATTAATTATGGTTTCTAAAAGCTATGTGGATCAAATTAGATGATTTAATAAATTTGTTGGACGTTGATTTGAATTATCGTCTTTTCTCATAATCTGACGAAATAAACTAGGTAATACCAACACAGTCAAAAAGAAATCAAATTCATCAAATATGGAGTAAAATTTTTTACTGTAGACGTTTGAGAACTGACATCGAAAAGAAAGACGGTGATATCAGCTTTCTAAAACATCGTTTAGATTGCTTTACTTCGTGTATTTTAAAAGAGAAACAGAAAAAATGCGAAAAAATATAAATGAAAAAAAACAATAGAATGCCAACACTTATCAGATTCCCACGTTTCAAAGGTTTCTGAATATTTTGGCATACCTCAGAAAAAGTGGATGTGTGGATAGACAATTTTTTGTCGACGATTCCGGGCCTATGGATAAACCGATTTGAAAAATACAAAAGTTTTTGGCAAAAGCAGGCCAACCGTTTCAGAAATACGAAGCTAAATGTGCTAAAAATTGCAGTTTTCTGCAATAAACTCACTGCTTATGTTGACGAAACGATTGATTCTGGGGATTCGGATTTTAATTTCAATTCTAGCTAAAGTTCTAAATATCACGTATATACTTTAAATAAATGATTTTAACTTTGCAATTCTGTTCATATAGTTCTTATAAATATTGAAAATATTTGAATATAAAAAAAATCAGGTAAAAAATAAATACAAGTAATATCTTGCTACACCCCTCCCCCCACGTGATATTTTGTCATTTTTTTTTTGTCAAATAACCCCTCCTCCTAAAAACCTCACGTGATTAATCGACGCCCCCTAAACGATTCAATAAAATTTCTTAATCTCTAATTTGTATTTATAATTATAGTTGCATAGGTTTTTACCACATATGCTGCACACATTTCCTATTGGCTTCACTGGTTGGACGCAGTTTGGTAATTCGCAAACGGTCGAGTTCTTCATATGTCGCATGAGAGTGGCGCGCACTGACGCCTTAGGGTGACAGAGGCAACCTGAAGGGTCGTTGCATTGTCCACTGAAGACTTTCATGAATGTATCCAGGCCCTCAGTTGATTCCGAATCCGTATTTCGAAACATGCGCCCGCCTACTTCGGAACGTATAAATCTTTCCCAATCGCTTCCGTATAAATCCTGTGTGGTAATTACATTAACTGCATTAATTTCATAAAAAAATCCATTCGATTGTACAAAATTAAATTAGTCCTCGACATTCTATACATAATATTATTCACTTCCTATAGGGTAAGTTATTGTAATTGTCCAAAAATGAAAATTGAAAATTTTGGCATAAAGACGTTTTAAAAGTTTCTGAACATTTTGGCATACCTCAGAAAAAATGGATGTATGTGTGAGTGCGTGTGTATATGTATGTGTGGACACAATTATTTGTCCACGTTTTCGGGAGTACTGCTCAACCGGTTTGTATAATTCAAAATGTAATTCATTCCTATTGATAGGGGTATGTGCTGATTAGCTTTCGGAAAGGTCGGTCCAGCCGTTTCCGAGATACGAAGGAGAAATGAGAGATGAAATTAAGTTTTTGAGAGAACCGGGCATCCGATTTGAATAATTCAAAAAACATTCAATTTGTCCTGATGAGAAGAAAATGTGATTAGTTTTTGGCTGGCCGTTTCAGATAATGAGCTAAAAGTGTAAAAAATGACAGTTTTTATGTGAACAATGCAGCCGATTCGAATGTTTTAAAAAACACTTTGCTTGTGTAGAAACGATTAGTTTTTGTGGAAAGTAAAATAAAAATTATTTCTATTTTATATTTCTATATTAATGCAGCCGATTCGAATGTTTTAAAAAACATTTTGCTTATGTAGAAACGATTAGTTTTTATGGAAAGTAAAATGAAAATTATTTCAAAATTTAAAAAAAATTGAATTTTCAAAGTATTTTTTTTGAATATAAAAAATGTTTTGGATTTTAATTTTAATTCTAAAACTCGCTTATATATTTCTAATAAATAGTTCTAACTTTGCAATTTAGTTTATATATTTCTTAGAAATATGAGATAAGATCCTTCATTTTAACTCTGCTTGATCAAGTTTTGTTTATTTACTTTTCATGTATACATATATTAAAGTCCCTGTCCAATTTATAAGATCTTATATTTTGTCTATAAAATACGAACAGCATTTTCAATAATCTATTTGAAGGCATTTAATATTTCTTGAATATTTCATTACGGTACGGGGAGTTCCAGCAATTTGCCTCAAGGCACGATGCCAGGCACTACAAGTTTATATTTATTCTTAATTAGTTTCCCAGCTACATCAGAATAGTTACATACACTTTGAGCAATCATTCAATATATCTCGAGCGTTTTTATTTGCTATAAAGCACACATTTGAGAAAAATCTAAATTTTCCGAAACAATATCGGTCATCCTGGACTGTTGAGTGCCCTACTTTAAATGTTTAAACTTCTATATTAAATGTTTTAATGGTAATAAACTATGGTATTAAAAAAATTGCTTGAGTTTGCTTCCCACAGGGAAGCTCAAAAAAACTTAATAAAATTATTTGATACTTAATACATTATTTGATCGATATCTTTTATATCCACAAGTTCTATAAATAATATAAAATGTACATACATATATCAAATTGAATAGCATAGAATAAAATTCAATGGAATAACATAAGAATAAAGGTTTAGAGAACGTAGTGCTCGTGCCAATTTGAGTTTCTATTTTTATCGCAGAAGCTGAACTCAATAATAGCATTCAAACCTTTTATGGAAAATTATATTATGGCTATGGCTTAATGGCATCGCGCCTTAAGCCAACTTGTTGAAACTTCCCGTACTAAGAATTAAGTTTTTAAAAAAGATTCAATTACTTTAGAACTTTGAAAAAAATAGATTTTTGAGATTTTAAAATTTCTTTTAAAACGATTGACTTTTTTTTAAAAATTTCAATGTTTTTATACTTTGAAATATTTAGTAAATTTTGAACTTTTTTTTAAAGCAATCGGGATACGTTAGCTGCGTAGAAAGTGCGAAACTAAATATCGAAGCGCATGGGCGCCGCATTGCAGTATAACGGATAAACATTGGTACGGAACCTTACTATTAGGATATCTATAAAATATGTGATAATTTGATGTGCATATGTCTAATGATCATTTTTGTCCACCAAATGGCATTTGTTTACTTTTTTATTCGATCTCCGAATCCGCTAGACCTGTCTTTTCAAAAATTTTATCATTCTCCATTTTGCCTATACAAATAAAATGTTTTTTGAATCATTCCAATCGGACTCTCTGTTGCCTCAAAAATTGAATTACCATTTTTGTCACTTTTTGCTCCGTATCTTCGGAACGGCTGAACCTGCCTTTGACAAAAACTAATCAGCACGTCTCCTTATCAATAGGAATCGAATGTTCTGTGAATTATTCAAATTGGTCGATCCGTGTTCTCGAAATTGTCGACAATAAATTGCACACGCACACACATAACTTCGCTCATTTAAAAGATAAGTATAAAATCAGTGCAAGAATGATAATATTCTAGATCCTCCCCATGGGAACCAGAGGCAAGGGCAAAGCGGAAGTTTTAGTCGGTATTATAACCAGGCGGGTATAGAGTTTGACATACCCAGACAAAAGACCAGTCTGGGATGCATAAATACATTTCCTTCGCTATACAAAATAAATCACACCCGCACACACACATACATCAATTTTTTCTAAGGTATGCCAAAATAATCAGAAACCTTTAAAACGTAAAGATATATAAACATTTTCATTTTTTTTGCGATTACTAGTGATTGAATTGAACTGAAACTATATTTAGCTACAATGAAATTAGTTCGGAATTGGGCTTTGGATATTTTTTGTTAAAGCAGATGCTTATTCACTTTAAATAAGTTTTACTTCTTACTGACTGTGATATATAATATTTTTATGTTTATAATTTCTATTTCGAGTCAATAAGTTACTTACAACCGAATTAATTTGTATTCCGGATATTGAGTAACCAAAAGTATGCGGTAAAACTACTTCGAATCCACTGTCTCCTTCAAAGATAGCGACATCAGCCTGGCATGGAATTTTTTCAGCATCAGGAAACGAATACCACGATTCTTTCAGTTGGTCTTCATTTGATGACATCAGATCCCAATTTTTTGGATCTAGCCAGAACCATCGTTTTAAACGTCTAATAAGTAATAAATTACAATAAATAAGATCATAGTTGTTATAATAAAACTATTACTGTATAAGGCCAACAGATAATAGAGAAATGCGGTTATAGAATTAATTTAAACTTATTATTTTGACGCTGCTATTTTTTTCAAACTGAGGAGGAATATTTTATTGTTTGTATATAATGTATTCCAATGTTATAACAGAATTATAACATAACACTAATGTTATCGTTCCTTCAGTTTTCTAAATTATTTGTTGATGACATATGCATAGAGATGTTACATGAATGTATTCACATACCTACTGTTATATAGATGGAATTTTGCTAATAAGTTTTAAACTTTTTATATAAGAAAATAATTGAAATTGTAAACATAACGTCATGAAATGGAATCAAATCAGTGAAATGAAATCAAGCTTTTAATAGTTGGAAACTGACATGTTTTCTGTTATTTTGATTGAAGTCAAGTTGGTCGCTTCGAAGACTTTAACATTTTAAAAAAAAATCTAAGGTAAATTATTGAACAAGTAAATTGTGGAAATCTAAATTAGTAGGCTGATAAATAGGTTGACGGAAATATTGGTGAACTGGTAAATTGGTGGACAGATAAACAGGTGAATAGGTATATACGTAGACATGTGAACAGGTAGACAGGTAAATTGGTAGATAGGTAAATTGAAGGATATGTTAAATGGTAACCAGGACAACTTGTAGATAAACAAATATGTAGACAGGTTAATTGGTAGACATGTAAAGCAGTTTGATAGGTAAATTGTAGGCAAGTAAAACGCTGGATTAATAAACAGGTTGTTAGGTAAATTCGTAGACAAGTTGATCATCAGGTAAATTGGTTGACAGGTAAACTGGAAGACAGGTAGAGAGGTAGACAGATAGACATGAAGACTGAAGAAAATTCTTCGGATACAATTACACTATTTTAGATACAGAATTTGTGTAATAATTTTTATAATATTGGGTACGAAAAAAAAACTACTCCTGTTGTTAATAGTTACTTTCAAAACTAATTCTTAATGGTGTTGTGATTAAATTAAGAAATAAAGCGTAATTTAATGTTTGGTAAATTAGTCTTTATAATGTTGGTCACGTGTTTAATGAATATATTAATGCTAATAGTTTTAATCACTTAAAATATAATCTATTACCTAAAGTGTTTATCGCCACTAGGACAAAAATTTTCTTCATTTCGGTTTGGTTCCTTGATAATAAGTTCACCAATGGATGGCAGCAATAATTCTCCTGTAAAGATTAATTTAACAGAATTACTTAAAATAATAAAGAACTAGTGGTGCAGGGCACTGTGCGTTAAGGCAAATTGCTTGAACTTCCCGTACCGTCAATACCAATCAAATGTTTTTTGAATCATTCAAATAAGTATGCCTTACTTATTTGAATGATTCAAAGAACTGCCTGTTCTAGCGGTTTCGGCGATCCATTAAAAAAAGTAAAAAAAATGCCATTTGGCGGACAAAAATGATCATTAGACATATGCAGATAAAATTATCACATATTTTATAGATAATTTAATAATAATAACATATTTTGTTCATAGGTTCCGTACCAATGTTTATCCGTTATACTGCGCCCACGTGCTTCGATTGTTCGTTTCTTCTACGCAGCTAACGTATCGCGACTGCTTTGAAAAAAAGTTCAAAATTTCCAAAATATTTCAAAGCATTTAAGAATCATTTTTTTCAAAAAGGTCGATTATTTTCAAAAATTTCAAAGATCGATTTTTTTTAGAGTTCTAAAAGAAAATTGAATCTTTTTTAAATTTTTGATACAGGAAGTTCCCGCAATTTGCCTTAAGGCACGATGCCATGCACCACTAGTTATATTAATTATATTGCACAGACACGTGCTTATACGTCCTAAAATTGTAGTTTATTATTCCAAATCTTAACGAATTGACAATGTTTGACTTATCCCATCTCAAAAGCAACTTTTGACAGAAATTTTGACTATAATATTTTTTCAAACTTTGATAAATTTTTAAAATTAAACTACTTGGCGTAGGGCCGTAAACTTTTAGTATGTTCTTTAGGGCCATGATATCTATCAAAATAAAAGGTTTTAGCGAAAAAAATTCGAACAGTTAATTACGAAGAAACGGCTCGGTCGATCTTTGTTCAAAATTAATCAGCACGACTCCCAAATAATATTTTTCGAATAACTTTTATTGAATTAATTAAGAATTGCGGGCTAAAACGTAGACATTTTTTTTCACTTTTCTGCTATTTACTAAGAAACCGTTTGGCTGATCGTCGCGCAAACGAGTTATCGAGTTACATCGAACGGCTTGTAAATTTTTGAAATCGGTCACGCCGTTACGTCGACGTAAGGTCAAAAATCTGTTCACATACATACACACACATACTTTTTTCAAATTTGGTCTAATTCGATTCAGAATGGATTGAAACGTCGAGAAAACATAAAATTAGCAAATATGATTTTTTTATGAAAACAAACTTCTCCTTCGGGAAGTTGAAAAGTGGTAGCTTTCACTACAAATAGCTTGCCCAGTTATTTGTTCAGTTAAAGTCGATGTTGAACAAAGTTCAAATAAATATTCGTCTGCTTTAAAAGTAAAAAAAAATGTATAAAAGTTACCTGAAATAGGCAATATAATTTCTGACACATCAATTGATTCGGCAGGTAATATAACGGCCCCTTCGATTTCTCCTGGAAATACCGCTCTTTGATTTTGACAGGGTTTTTCACCTTCTACCCAATTAGATGGAGTATCATAGTTATCATTTCGAATCCAGCGTTTCAAATACGTTGCTTCAGTTATTGAAGTTACAAATATAACAAGAAAACAAAATGTAGTTATTATCCACATTTTCAAATACCTTTACGTTTGTATAAATGAACACTGCACTTGGAACTTTTAATTATTACCAACTTCCAAATTACGATTTTGATTTTTTTTTTGAATATAATTACTATCAAAATGAACATGGAATTTCAGTTTTGGTTACTGAGAGTTGAACCTTTGATGCTCTTTGTACGTAAATACATTATTGTATTGTGCGATACCAGAAGTGGGTGGCAATACTGGTAGTGTCGAATTACAGATAAAAGATGCATTGCATTTCGGCATCGCTCTTTCCTATTAATATATGATGCTAATATGAATATTTTGTAATTTATATATATATATATATATATATATATATAAATATATATACATAGATATAATTTCAATAACACATAAATAAACATTTTTCAATAAAACTGTTTTTTAATTACAGGATGGATGCCCAAGAAACAATTTTATCATATTATTTCACCATCTGAAGAAAAACCTTTCGCTTTATATATATATATATATATATATATATATATATATATATACATGCTGTCCCAGAACTCAACGTCAAACCAAAACGTGGTGAAAGTACAGCCCTGCAAAAATATCTTTTAAAACCCTAAATTTTTTTTCAAGAATTAGGTTTTTCTTATAATTGGCCAACTTTGGTCTTATAAAAATCATCACAAATAAGTAAAATTATTGATATAATGTATATTTCTGCCTGACTTAGTTTAGTTGGTTTATTGGAATAAAAATCGAATAAAAAACACATTTTTTTCATATGATAAATATTCAAAATTATACTTACTCGCCACAACCCCTTTTTAGTAATAGTCAATTTAGTAATCGAATTATTTTTATCCAGCTTTCAGACAGTGAGTGTTTTTTACTGAATTCAGATTAAGATTGTTTTAGTTAAGAAACAAACGCAAATTAAAGAAGTTTGCATTTCACATTAAAGAACTTTTTTTTTATTAACGATTGTCAACCACTACAACTTTTTTCAAAAATTTTTTTCTTACCTTCTAGCAATTCTAACATTTTAGTAATTCAATCATTTTTTTGTAAACTGTTTTTCCTCAATTTATATTAATACTGAGCTTATAAAAGTGTTTCTTTAAAAAAAAAAAAAATAGTTTTTATCAAGGGTTGATTACAGCAGCGGCGCTAGGCGTGGGCGGTGTCGGCGACCGTCGACGGCCTCGCGCTTGAGGTGCCTCACAAAGGACTCCACAAAATTTTCAATTAATAAAAATTTAGTTTTTCATTATAATTTAGCAATTATAGCAAGAACACTTCCCAACATTTCTATTTTATATTTGTACTTATGCAACTGGCCTTAACTGCACAAACGAGTTAATCGCCCAGGAATATAGCGCCATTTCTTATTTTTTGAATCATGGTGATATTTAATCGTTAATTAAAACTATTTTTATATAATATAATGCGATGTCGATCTGCTTCATATGAGACAAAATATTTGGAGATGCCGGGGATCGAACCCGGGGCCTTTCACATGCAAAGCGAACGCTCTACCACTGAGCTACATCCCCACTTGTTAATTACTGATTATTTCATTCACCATTGGGCCAAGTTATTGCAACAAACATTGCGATTCATAAGATCATTAAGAAATTTTCTCAAAAGGAATATTACACGCGAGCTAAGTTAGTTGCAGAAAAAATGTCAATTCATAAGATCATCAAGGAATCTTCTAAAAAAAATTTGGAATGTTTTACAATTTTACGTGTCATCCTTGCCAAGGGGTATGCTTATCTTCTGTGTATCGTTCCAATTTTAGTATATGTTCTTCCGAAGCAAGAACACTTCTTAACGTTCCCAAATTGTATTTATACCTAAACATCCTAGCTATCGCCACAACCGCGTAATATAATGCTGCAAAAGTAAAAAGAAGTAAAAAAATGTGTGCAAATAATATTAATATCCCACTCGAAGATTGAAAAAAAAAATGGCCAAACGATATTAAATAAAATGTCAAAAAATAAAAAAAGAGAGACATCACATAGGAGATAATCTCTTAAATGCATTTACACCCAGCATATTGTCTTAAAAATGTATATTATTTTGATTGGCAATAAAAATATGCAAAAAAATAATAATATTAAATAAAATTTGAAAAAAAAAAATGTGGAACGCTTCACGATTTTGCGTGTCATCCTTGCGCAGGGGCCATGCTAATCTTCTCTGTATCGTTCCAATTTTAGTATATGTTCTGCCGAAGCAAGAACGCTTCTTAACGTTCCCAAATTGTATTTATACCTAAACATCCTAGCTATACGCCACAACGCGAGTTAATCCCTAAGGGTCGATGCGCCATCTGTTTGAGTAATGGTGACAATTTTAAATTCAATCTTACAACTTATTATTATAATTTGCATATTGAATTATATTTAATAAAAAATTAAAAAAAAAAGTGGAACGCTTCACGATTTTGCGTGTCATCCTTGCGCAGGGGCCATGCTAATCTTCTCTATCGTTCCAATTTTAGTATATGTTCTGCCGAAATAACACATCCCAACGTTCGTAATTTGTATTTGTACTGTACTTAAGAACTATAATCGCTCCGAAATGTAGCTCTTAATCTTTGAATCATGGTGATATTTTATTGTTAATGAAAATTATTGTTATATAATATAATGGGATATTGATCTACTTGATATGAGACAAAATATTTGGAGATGCCGGGGATCGAACCCGGGGCCTTTCACATGCAAAGCAAACGCTCTACCACTGAGCTACATCCCCGCATGGCAAATAGCTTTTTTCATCCACACACGAGCCAAATTAGTTGCAGAGAAGAGCAATTCATAAGATCATTAAAAAATCTTCCAAAAAATAAGTGAAACGCTTCACGATTTTGCTCACCATCCTTGCGTATGGGCCATGCCAATCTGCTCTGTATCGTTCCAATTTTTGTACGTGTTCTTCCGAACAAGAATACTTCCCAACATTTGTAATTTGTATTTGTGCTTAAGCAACTCGCTTTAACTGCACAACACGAGATAATCGCTCAGAAATGAGGAGCCATCTCTCACTCCCTGAATCATGTCTAAATATACAATCATTCATTAATTAACAATCAACTCCATTTTTATATTGTCAATACATTCTTTCTTAGCTCTGTTTCTGTTTAGCGTTCTTTTATTTCTACCCAGGATTTGAAGAGGTAAATGTGGAAGATGCTTTTTTCCCCCTTGGCAAGGATGACACGTAAAATTGTAAAACGTTCCACATTTTTATTAGAAGATTTCTTGATGATCTTATGAATTGCCATTTTTTCTGCAACTAACTTGGCTCGCGTGTCATATTCTTTTTGAGAAAATTTCTTATTGATCTTATAAATCGCAATGTTTTCTGCAATAACTTGGCCCAAGAGCGAATGAGATTACCAGTAATTACCAATTGGGGATGTAGCTCAGTGGTAGAGCGTTCGCTTTGCATGTGAAAGGCCCCGGTTCGATCCCCGGCATTTCCAAATATTATGTCTCATATCAAGTAGATCAATATCCCATTTATTATATAACAATTAATTAACAGTAAAATATCACCATGATTCAAAGATAAAGTGCTACATTCCGGAGCAATTATAGTGCTTAAGTTTTTCTAATGATGAGCTCAAGGAATTAACTGAACAAGAAGAAAACAAAAATATTGATATCAGTGATTCAGAGAAAGAGCAAAAAGAAATTCTGATGGCGTTTGTTAAAAAGAAGTCCTACCATAACTGAAATAATGGATCACTTCATTAAATTGGTTCTAAATTTTGACAGGAGCTCAAAACTATAAGTGATGTTAGAGATGCTCTATCCGTTTATGAAGAACTTTTAAAAGTACAAGGCAAAAGAAAAAACCAAACAACATTAGAAGCTTTTGTCACAAAAATGCAAAAGACCGAAAACGTGGAAGGCTAACTAAATATGACTGTTTCAGAATTTTATTTGTTCTTCAAGAATATTCGTTTTGCTATTTTTATTTTGCAAGAAATAATAATGAAAAGATGGAAAGGAAAAAGAAGGGTGAAGGTTGAAGGTAGCTATAACATTTTTTTTCAGAAATAATAATACAATAATAAGTTTTTGATAAATATAATTCATTAGCTTTTAATAAAATATGAAGCATAATATAAACTATATACACATTAAGGATCATGTTAACAATATTCCAAATAATTTCTATTTTAATATCTACATACTATTCACTAAATTTGGACTTCAACTGCCTGATAGGAGAACATTGTTAATAATCCTCTACTCTCTTCTTAGTGTTTTATCGCCAAAATTGATAGCAAACTTCTAAATTGAATAAACTGCCGCCATTATTGCGAAAACAAAACAATATACTAAGAATCCAACTCTGTCTAAAGCTGCGGCCAGAAGTAACCAATCCTAAGGCAAAAGATCAAAATACTGTGAGAGGCATTGTAAAAGTTGATCATATTTATCTTACATATGAAAGTTTTTGTGATTTTTATTTTTCCTCATTATATTCGTCTTAAGATCAGATAGAGCTTACTAGACATATAAGTTTTAGTTGCGTGTCATAATGTTATTGATATATCTGTTATTTGCAAATATTATTAACTTATCATAGAGTAAGTTATAGTAGTCGCAAAAAAATCGAAAACAAAAATGTTCATATATCTTTACGTTTCAGAGGTTTCTGAATATTTTGACATACCTTATTATTAGAAAAAATGAAAGCATTTGTGTGTGTATGTATGTGCGGATACAATTTATCGTCCACGATTTCGAGATCACGGATCAACCGATTTCAATAATTCAAAAAACATTCGATTCCTATTGATAAGGAGACGTGCTGTTTTTTGGCAGAAGCAGGTTCAGCCATTCCGAAGATACGGCGCAAAAAGTGCCAAAAATGGTAGTTCAAGTTTTGAGAAAATGGAGCATACGATCTGAACGATTTAAAAAAAAGTATTTGTATTAGCGAAAAGAAAAACTGATAAAATTTGAAAGAAGGCAGGTCTAACGGTTTTGGAGATACAATAAAAAAGGTACAAAAAATGCTATTTGGCGAATAAAACTGATTATTAGACATATGCACATCAAATTGTCAGATAATTTATATATATTTTAATCTTTTAATAACAAGAACAATTTTGTTTACATTTCTATGGGTTCTGTACCAATGTTTATCCGTTATTCTGCGACGCGGCGCCCACGCGCTTTTATATTTCGTTTTTACGCAGCTAACGCATAGCGATTGCTTTGAAAAAAAAAATTAAAAATTTCCAAAATATGCTAAAATATAAAAAAATCATTTTCTTTAAAAGGTCAATTTCTTTCAAAAATTTAAATTCTTAAAAATCTATTTATT